AGATGAAGTATGCAAGAAACTATATTATTGTAAGTTATTTATCATATCCTGCTAAGATCAGTTTATTAGACTTATCATTGTCACATGTTTTGTGGGAGAAAATTGCAGGCAAAGAAAGCTTTGAGAGCACTAAAGGGAATAGTGAAGCTTCAAGCGATTATTCGAGGACGAGCTGTGAGACGTCAAGCAATGACAACACTCAAGTGCTTGCAATCCATAATAAATATCCAATCACATGCCTGCGCTAGGAGATTCCAAACGATCGAAGATGCTTACCATTGCGATGAACATAATCAGTTCCAAAATTTGAGAGACAAGATAATAAGGGTAAGTTTGGAAAGAGGTTCTTATGATGGAAACATACAAAAGAAAAAGAACACCTTTTCTCCATTTAGGACAATCTTTCTTGTGGAAAATTATAGGCTGCAGGCTTCTATTTCAAAAATTTACATAACCAGTGTCTTTTAAGTACAATTTTCTTTGCACAATGTGACATATGATGAAACCTTTAAAACTTTTAGATGGACTCAAACAGTCAAAGAAGGTGGGACGGCAGCCTCATTTCAAAGGAAGATGCAGAGGCCTTGTTTCTAAGCAAGAAAGAAGCTATGCTTAAGAGAGAACGAATAAGGGAATACTCATATACCCATCGGGTAAGTTCCTCTACTTTAAAATCTTTGGTTCATTCTTTATCTCTGTTCAAAAATAGCTTCTCCCACTAAGTTGTCAGCAAAAACATTTTGTAGAAGTCAGCAGAATCAGAGAGAAATAAAGTAAAGGGAAGATGGAGATACTGGTTGGACCAATGGGTAGATACACAACTTTCTAAAAGCAAAGAACTTGAGGACTTGGACACGGTTTTGGATTTGAATGCAAAGCGAAAAGAAGAATTTGGAGGAAAACAACTTAGGCTGAGAAACTTTCAAAGACAAAACATTCAGATTGAAGGAATGGATTCTCCGGTGTTTGTACCAAGAAGATCTTCATACCACAGAAAGCAGTGTTCATTGGGAGATGAGAATTCCTTCACAACCTCTCCTGTTGTTCCAACTTACATGGCTGCAACAAAATCTGCCAAGGCAAAAGCAAGGTCTCTAAGCTCCCCTAAGTTAAGGGCAGGCAGTTTAGATACTTACTCTGAGAGCTATTCACCATGCAAGAACAACATCTCTCTTATATCTTCTATCACCAGTGAAGTCCCAATTAGCAGCACTGGAAAAATATTGGGCAAGTCTAGTAGTATCCAGCAAAGATCTCCAAGCATGAAGGGCCTTCCAAGCCCTTTAAGATTAAAACAGACGACAAAGGATCGAAGCTTCGATTGGGATAGACAAAGTGCTTTTAGATGATGATTTCAGTGGAATTAAAGACAGATTAGTTTGGTTAGTGTATTTGGTTTGGATTGCAGAAGTTAATTTGTAATTACAAATTAACTAAGTGGATGAACATTTTCAGTCCTTTAACCATATATAGGTTCATTACTGCATAGATAAATAACACCTTCCCTTAAACTTTACTTATTCATACTGACTTAAGCAACCTGATCACAGTATTATTATTAATTCGCTAGTTGTGAGCTTGAATACCATGTAACTTCATTTGAACTTTGCAACCTCACTCAGTTGGAGAAATGATTGTTAGAATAGCTTCAAAATGGAAGCTACCTGTATTATGTTTAAGCCGCTTTCTTCAAGTCATATATAACAAGAAGAACAACACCACATCTCAGAATAAGAGGAAGCTTCTATAATGAGGGCTATGTTGAGGGGTTACAATAAGAGGTTCAATCCAACAGTCCAATAATAACTCTGCACTGGATCGAACGGCCCCTCATTATAACCCCTCACAAAAACCCCTCATTCTAACCTCCGTATTTAAAACTTGCAATTTACATATTTTAGAGGGTGCTGGCTAATGTCCCCAAAGGCCCAAGAGCCACTCAAACTCA